TCGGGCGGAGAGTTGGAGGCCAGATTGAGGAGGTTGGTTCAGACTTGTTTTCTGCTCCTCCACTTGGCACGGGCGCTGCCGTCGCTGTGTGAGTGGCCGGCCTCTCAGCGGCGTCCTGGCTCGCTCTCCTGACACGCTGCCCTCTGGCCGGCCCTCTCGTGTGTGGGCCTGAGTGTGTGCAAGCGTTTGATACCGCGAGGGGTTTGTGCAGTTGTATCTGAGGGCCTCAGTAGTCTGTGACCGGCTTAAGTCTGTGTGCGAGATTGTTTCTGTCTTACGTGTTATGTGTGTGTGTGTGTGTGTGCGTGCGTGCGTGCGTGTGTGTGTGTGTGTGTGTGCGTGTGCGTGTGTGTGTGGCAGCTGTGTGCCCTCCTCCGGCCGGCCTGCGGGACAATCAGCCGCTCCCTGCGACCACAGAGACCGAAGGCACGGGGCAAGAATGTCTTTCAGTGACCAAGGAGGTTGATGCCAAAAATGCACACAAAGCACGCGCACACAAGCCAACTGAACACACACACACATACATGCTGATACACGCAGGTTGCTCTTTTATTTATTTGTTTTGAACCTTTTTCTGTCAGTATACACTGCTCAACACATGCGAATACAGACATTTGACACAGGAGTCAGTTTAACAAATAAGCTACAGGTAGATTGATTATATGTGTATGTATAACATGTAATAAACTACATTACATGTAATTGTTACATGTTATGTGTAAACAGTGGGACACAACACAGAGCGTCCCAACGCTGACAGAGGAATGATCCCAACGCTCTGATGACGAAGTGATGCCAGCAGAGGAGATGTGCAGAGGAGATGTGCAGAGGAGATGTAGAGAGGAGATGTGCAGAGGAGATGTGCAGAGGAGATGTAGAGAGGAGATGTGTAGAGGAGATGTGCAGAGGAGATGTAGAGAGGAGATGTAGAGAGGAGATGTGTAGAGGAGATGTGCAGAGGAGATGTGCAGAGGAGATGTAGAGAGGAGATGTAGAGAGGAGATGTAGAGAGGAGATGTGCAGAGGAGATGTGCAGAGGAGATGTGTAGAGGAGATGTGCAGAGGAGATGTAGAGAGGAGATGTGCAGAGGAGATGTGCAGAGGAGATGTGCAGAGGAGATGTGCAGAGGAGATGTAGAGAGGAGAAGTAGAGAGGAGATGTGCAGAGGAGATGTGCAGAGGACACTGAGTGTGTTTACCACCGGGTTGACCTAATAGGAGTCCCTTATCTTAACCAGCAGCAGCACTGTCCCTGAGATGTCATTATCGAAAGTCTACTCAATGGGGTACGAAAGAAATGTAAAGGTCAAGGCCCTCATGGGAAAAGGCACTCTGAGTACTTAGGACCATAGCAGATGTAATGGAAATTGTTTGTGATGTTCTTTCCTCAGGCGGCGAGTGCCTAAAGTGTGTGTTCCACAAGTCACACAGCTGTAGAGAGCACGTTTCATACAAGCCCTGAAACTTCCTTTAAATAACCTCTCAGCCTTCTGCCGTCCGTATGTGCAGTTGTGTTAGCGCTCGTTGGTACACCTGCATTTGTCTGCGCCCCAGGGCCCGAATAAACGAATTAGCACATCAAAACCGAATGCAGAGGGTTTCTGTGTGGGTTCACGTGGCGTTGGCAAATTGGCAATCCAGCCCTCATTAGTCGTCGCTACCGCATAAAGGCTCTCCTGGTCAAAAAAAACTCCACCAAGAAGGCTTTTGTGGCAGGTTAGTGCGAGGAAACATTCAGCTCTTCGAGTAATGATCCAGTCTTTATTTTATCTAAACGTGGCCATGTGCACACTTACCAATTTTCAAGAAGGTAAATCTCCCTAATCTCAGTTAAATGAAAGAAAAAACCCTTACCATACTACACCACAGTCCTTTTGTTCTAATCAACCATCCACAATTCCTTTCAAAATGGAACAGGCAATCTAAATGGATTCCTCATTAGCATCTTATACATAAACAACAGCCTGTTGGAAAGACTATTTGGGTGTGTTTCCTGTGTAGGTCGCTCCTCTGGTGTTGCACCAGCGTGGAGAGGAAATAATGGACGGTCGGACCGTCATATATCATCCCGGTGTTTTTTTCCCTCATCAATATGTGATGAGGGAAACAAGAGATGGACGACAATTTCCCGCTAGGTCGGAAAAGGTTAACGTAACGTCCCGCTGAAGGTCCCGTCCCGACACGTGTGTGATTCTGTGCCGTGGCTCCAGAGGAAATTGCATTTATCAGTGTGATCTGACAGTTGTTTGTACATGTAATCGACCGCTCGCAGGGGTTCCTCGGGGGGCTATCAGACAGCGGTGGGGCGTTTTCCCGCTGCCACTTTTTGCTTTGTGCTCCAATGACGGATCTAATTAGCGAGGGACCCCCATCGCGTCCTCTATTCGCGTTCCCCCTCAAAGAATAGCTCTGTGGCTATCCCTAATAAATGAAGAGTGGAACCCTCTGTCCGTGTCGCGCCAGGAGGGCGGCTTCTTTACCAAAGCCGGTTGACCCCGTTCATGCTCGACTCTAATCAGGAGCAGTCCAGAGGGTGCCGCGACGGCAATAAAACACGGAACGCACCCCCTCTTCTTGTCTCTCGCCCCTTCTCTGTGCAACCCCTCCCCGAGCTCGCACACAAGCACACACATGATGCAGAGGGGCACCGAGGAGGAGGTTATAAACCATTATGAGCCAGGTTAGCCGACAGTGACAGCCCGGCTTGTGTCCCCCTCCTTTGAGCGCGTCCGCGTGCTGGGCCGTCCCGGCCGCTCGTCCGCCCGGGCTGAATAGAACCACGGGGCTCTGGCTCCACAGAGATAGTGTTATCTGGGCCGCCACGGGGCTTCCGGTCGCAGCCGTGTACACACACACACACGGCTCAGCGGGTCAGCGCACACACCAGCGTGAGTCCGGACAGACACAAGAGGTCTGTGGGCCCCACGCGGACATCACGGGCACGTCATGTAACCACACACAAGCACACGCGCACGTGGAGAGAGACACAAAGGGCGGCTCTTCGGCCTTCAACTTGAGCGTCTGTTGTGACGCTTTTCCAACTTTCCTCACATTTCCTCAGGAAGCAGAATTCGCCTCTTGACCTTCGGCTTGTATAAAATGACCCGCATGCTGTCGCAGGAGCAGAGTAGTTCTCTCCGTGGTCGCACGTCTCAGACCTTGAATCGGGCCGGAGCTCCTGCTGTTTTTAGGAATCTGAGTAATTCCACCCATTCCTGGAGATCTACACACATGAGCTGTCGCCGCCGGGAGCCCAGAGCCAGAGGGACGGGGATAAGCCGCATTTCTGCCCATTTTCCTCCAATGATTTCAATTAAAAAGAGATTTGAGGTGGAAAAGCGGTTTTCCTATGGGGCATGCTCTCAAAAGTCTGGGGAGAAAAGGTGAGGTAAGGTGTGGTAACGGGTTCCGGGGGCCTCTTCTAGCAGCTATGAGACAAGTCTTTTAGAAGATGAGGGGGTCAACAGTGGAGGGAGAAAAAGAAGGAATTGCTTCACCACATTTACTGTGGTCCTATGACGCGGCCGGTTTGGTCTCTTTGGTTCAGACTGAAACGTCTGTTTCATGGATCGCCATGATGAAGCTTTTGTAGGGAATTTAAGAAGAAAAGCAGCAGTGGTAGAAATTATAATATGTAGGATCAGGACTGGTGGTAGAATTAATTTGTGTTTTATTAGATAGAAGCACAATTTTTGTATTATGAATTAAACATTTTGTTTATCTTGTAAGTAATTTAAAACTGTACACGACATCCATAATGTTCATCCTGAGAGGGTTTTTTGTCTAGTTCTTCTTCAACGTTTTTTCTTATTTTATCCCCATAGAGGGTTTTTCAGTATAAGGCCCGAGTTCGGTATTAAAGGATGTCTTACCTGTACAGTTGAGTGGCAAATGTTTTGGACTAAAATGAGTTAAATGTTATGTGTATGAAGCTATGAAATATGAGGATGAAGGACACGTCATGATTAGGGTGTGTTAGATATTAGATGATAATAGTGACATATTGCATACCATAATATGTTTATTTAAAGCCAGAGAGGAAGGTGTGGCCGAACGGCACATGTGACCAAACTGGGCGGAGCTACTGACGGCCGTGCAGCCAATCGCACGGGGCTGTAAAATAATCGACACACCCCTGCGTAACGCAAAAAGACGTAGCCCGGTGGAGCAAAGACAGAATTACCTGTATCCATACTTTTTGGTCATATAGACTATAGGAAGGAGATTCTATATTGTGCCAAATATTAAACTATTCTTAGCGTATTTCACATTGTAACTGTACTTGCTTCTGTTTAAATCCTTTTGGATTTTTAAACACAAGGCAGTTTGTTCGTTTTGGCAGAGTTTAACCTCACACACCATGTAGATCCTGACTGACAATAGGGGCTCTGAGTCAAATTAGAGGTGTGTTAGTATGCTAACAGACCAAACAGCCTCTCAAAGCTGCAAGCGTGACTTTAGATTCTTAGTCAGGTGTCATTTTTGTATTCTCATACTGACTGTTGCATACTGCACATATTTAGATTTTTCTACAGAAATCTTTAGTTTCATGTAGTGTACTAACATGCAAGACAACCGGATACCAGCATCAATGTTGGCATTTAGCTCAAAGCAGCACTGTGCACTTTTTGCTGTGTAAGACCAAATATGTTTCTTTACAGAAGCCAAATATTTGCTGCTATACATTTCCTTAATTATGGCTTAAATGTAAATCATTTTCAACCTTTACCCACTCATATGTTACCGCTTCACAAAAGCCACTCAGACCTCATCAACCTGAGTTTGTGTCTTTGGTGTTTCACACTCTAAAAACATTTTAAACAAAGCTCATAATTAAGGTACAATTTGCTGTCTAATGTATCAGATTGCATTACATTGTAGTACGATTTCTACCTGCTGTGTGTTTCAAATACTAAGTGAGTCCTGACTCTGAAAGTCTGTTTATCACTTGTTTGCACACACACACACACACACACACACACAGATAGAACGCTTTGTACTGCACTCCACCGTGTTTTAATTTCCCAAGTCACAATGTCAAGAAAATATACGTTTTTGTTATTGTTCTTTCTTTAATTGACACCATTTATTGCATCAAGGCATGATTGCATTTTTAAACAGTTTAAAAAAGTACAAATGAAAATAACATGGTGAGATTAAAGAGCTTGTATCAAACTTGATCAATATGATAGAATAAGAAAATCTGGCCTTTATCTGCTCATAGTTTGTCCCCTCAAAGAAACCAAGTGAATATATATTCTCAAACACATTTCGAAATACAAATGAAAAAGGACAGATCCATCACCCAGTGACAGAAAACAGAACCCTATTCATCAATACAGAGACACCAATGAACTGCATATTCCTTCTCATCAAATTTGGCGAAATATAATTAACAAATGCCCAGTTTGTACATAATTGAGAAGAAAACATTATATTTAAGCAAAAGACAAACTTGCCCAGTTGACTTATTGCAGTGTTAAGTGTTAAGCATGTTCAAAAACAAACTGATACGAAAAATTACAGCATATGTATCACGTTCGTAATGGTCAGTAAACCATGGTTTTGAAAACAGCATTTTAATATGGTAAAAAATCAAACCAAACCTATTCGCTGAAATAATTGCTGTCTAGCTTTCCTAAAACCGCTGCCTATCAAAGTGCATAATGTTTTCATGACTGTCGAGAAGGCGGTGAGTTTTCCCCTCTGCTCCTCTCACGTAGACAAATGGCAAATATTCCTGCCCAGCTTCATGCTATATACTTTAGTAAATATATATTAAATCGATTACATAAGAAAGTCATAGATGACTGATTTCTAATCTCGGGACTACGAATTCAACGTCTTCAATATCCTGCTCCCATAACGTGATGAGTGGCGGAGTTTGCTGCAATGTTAATAAAAATAAAAAAAAGAATGCTAATGTAGCAAAATAGAATCCAGCACGTCGTCTCAGACCTGTAGTGACGTGCTGGTTCGGGAGGAGGGCTTTGAGGGAGGCTGGTTGGGTTATCTTCACGTTGCCTCGGTCAGAATCAGAAGCACTTGCTTGAACGCGTCACCTTTTTATCAGCTGCCTGACATTTGAGCCGTTACAGTTCCACAAAGTCCTACTTCTGCACGCAGTCTTCTCCTTGTTCTTCCTTCTCAAGGAAACGTTTGCCGCCTTTTGTTCTACAGAGTGCGATAATCCCGTCCACTTCGTAAAGGTTCCTCTGCTGTACGGTCATAAGGAGATGTTGTCATGTTACGCGCTGCTATCAATCACCACACACACTGGACAGGTGACTCTGTGTCTGGAAGCTTTTTCATCCCAGATTGATGTCTTGAAGGACTCTTTTGATAACTGTTGATAGTTCAAGTTTGTATTGTATGAAAAGATGTAAATGTTACAAAAAATAAGTTACAGACGCGCTGGATGGCTGGAGGGAATGCGCGAGTAGCTGGGCTGTAGTTCTAACCATTGTTATCCTTTCGGTGGTAATGTTGGACCAGGAATCAGACATGTTCAGATCATCGGGGGAAGATAATTAGGAGTCAATGAGGTTTTGGGTCAAAGGTCACAGATAGGCCTCCACTCGCTCCCATGGCTGCATCTCTGAGAAGAAGCCCTCGCACAGGCCGAAGCCCTGATCCAGCGTCAGAGGAATCGCCTGCTCCTCCTCTTTGATCTCCTCCCAGGGCTGCAGCACCGCCTCCCCGGGCTGCTCCGGGAACAGGGCGGAGGGCTCGTCGAACTGCTGCAGGTGGTGGTGGTGACTTTGGAGCAGCTGATCCTGGTCCAGCTGCTGCTGCTGCTGCTGCAGCTGCAGCGGATGCTGCTGCAGCACGTGGAGCTCTCCCATGTTAGCGCTGCCATCTGCGGAGGCGACGCTCAGCTCCATGTAACCGTAGGATTGGAGGGGGTTGAGGTGCTGGCTGTGACCCGCGACCTCCGGGCCGCCGCACCACCGCCCCGGCCCGGCCGAATGCTGCCTCCCCTGCATGGAGACCTCCAATTCGCAGCCCAGGGAGCTCAGCGCCGTGTTGATGTCCAAATCCTCGAAGGTGCTACAGTTGCCGCTGAGGACGTCGTCGAACACGGACGCCAGGTCAAAGTCCCCCCTCAGGATGTCGGCTTTGTGGGCCTCCGTCGCTAAGAGAGGCGACTCGGTGGTCCTCATCGCCTTGCCGTCGTTCTTGGCGGGCGGGTGCTTCCGTTTGCCGCCAACCCCCTGGTAAGGGCAGCCATTCTGTGTGCCGTGATAACCCAGCACCAGTTTGCTTGGTCTGCTGGTGCCATTGTAGTTGTTGGCAGAAATCCTTCTGCGTTTGAAAATGCCATCGACGAACATGTCTGCATACTGTGGATCGATCTGCCAGAAGCCCCCCTTCCCCGGCTCGTCTTTCTGTCTGGGGACCTTCTTGAAACACTTGTTGAGGGACAGGTTGTGACGAATCGAGTTCTGTGAGGAATACAACAACAAAAAAGTATATGTAACATGATCTCATTGCCTTGAAAATATGGGTTAGTGATGCAAAAACACAATTTGTCAGACTGTCTTTTTAAGGGACATGAGAAGGGAGGGGGGGGGGGGGTATTGTTGTTGTTTGTATAGGAAAGCAAATGTACCTAATGAGGCTTTCTAGTAACAGGCAGCTCTGTGAATTTCAAACATGATCAGCTGTGCTTTGCTTCCATCTCTCTCAGGAGCCCTCATTAACACACGCGCACACAGACACACACACTCACACACACGCGCGCGCACACACACACACACACACACACACACACACACACACACATTTAGAGTGCTTTCTCCACCCATCACCATTCCCCTCAGACAAAAACCCATATGAGTACTCTCATGGAAGATGGAAATTTCTGAGACTCTTGAAGACACGCTTGTCATTTAAATCATCAAAGGTGGAAATTAGACTTTGTGTAATAGTTTGTAAAAAAAAAAAAAAAAAAAAGCATACTGGAGGAATAAAATGCACCTGTTTTTTGGTTTCTCCACATTGATAAAAGAAAGGCCTTGTCTGGTGCCCTGTAGGATAACATGTGGTGTCTGATGGTGACACTGGGATCAATTGCTCAACCTTCTCTCCCTGCCTGGCCATTTATCTGACTCATCAATAATAGAAAGGGGACTTTGCGGGTCTCGGTTACCTGCCAGCTGGGCTCGGCGTGTTTGTAGTAGCAGAAATTCTCCGTTATCCAGTTGTAGATGGTGGACAGAGTCACTTTGGGCTGTTTGCTGGCCTGCATGGCCATGCAGATGAGCGAGGCGTAGGAATAGGGCGGTTTGACCTTCGGGTTGGTTTTGTAATCGACCTCCACGGGCGGGCACGCCTGGATGTGGATCTGCGGGTAGGTGTTCCCTGGATGTGCGTAATCGGTAAAACGCGGTGCCGCGGTGCAGTCGCTGCCGGAGGTGACGGGGCTCCCGAGGTACAGAGGCATCCCGGTGGCGGCGGTGTCCCCGGCCGGCGGGCTGGACGGGGAGTCGGATCCCCCTCCGGGAAAGCCGAGCCGCTTCAGAAACTGGCCGTGCTGGGAGGAGGTGCAGCCGGGTCCGGATCCGTTGGGCCGCTCCGGGTCCGCGTTGAGGATGGAGAAGTTCTGGAGCCAGTGGAGGCTGGTGAGGCTGTCGTCCAGGGGCGCGCAGTCGGACCCGGTGACCGGATCCTCCGGGTACACCGCGAGCCATTTCTCCTTAAACTTGTTCGCAATGTCGGGGCTCGTGAGAACCGGCATCGTGGGTCTGTGCGCGTAATGAGCGTTGAAGATGGCCGCAGGATCGTCAAATCGGCATTTAAAGTTATTTATCTTGAAGTTATTGAAATGGGAAAAAAGAAAAGAGAACCTATATAAATCGCACTCTAATAAATCATCAAAGATGGAAGTATCTGTAGTCAAAATACATGTAAATGAACAGCATATTAAATTGCCCAATGATGCGTAATCTCCTTACCGACTGTGCAGCCTTCAAGGGGGGGTTGTCCGCGTGCACCTGTTGCAGTCCGCCCCTGCCTCTCCTCTCTCAGGACTCAGTGGCGCATCCAGTTTTTACGCAACAAGTGCGGCGTGGGGGGAGTAGCATCCAGCAGCAGCAGCAGCTGGTGTGGGGGAAAGAGGAGGAAGAGGACAGATCCCCGTCGAGCTAAACGAACCCGACTGCGAGTCCAAAACGCGCAGCTCCGCCAGAGCGTCCGGCGGGAGGTCAACAAGTGAGGATGTGCGGAGGAGGTTGTGAAAAGAGTCGCTCATAAAGCCCGAGAGACTGCGCACCATCCCTTTAATCGCCACCGGCGATTTCTGATTGGATGCCTATCGTGTCTTCTCTAGGTTGTTTTACTCTCTCTCGCTCGCTCTCTCTCTCTCTCTCACCCCCCCCCCCCCCCCCCCCCCCCGCAACCCTCTCCCGCCCCACATGGCGGCGCTGGAAAAGGCGCGCCACAGGTCCCGCCTGGAGCGCTCTTTTGCACCTGCAAAGCAAACTGCCCCCTTTAAGTGATCTGCACTTACTCCGAGGCTGATCGTTGTTTATTTGCAGACGTGAAAAGAGCGATTGAATACCAGTTGTGTTCCGTTTAACGATAATCTCCTGGTCAAATGCATCCGTTGAAACCCAGATGTTTTAGTGCAGCTTAGAGATTCAACTTTAAGCAAGTTGTGGCACATAATAGACATTTTCGGTTGGAGTATTTAACGAGGGATCTGTCAGATAAGGGATATCTTGCAATAATATCGAACGAATAATCTAAAAAGAGCAGAGCGAAGATAGGATACAACCATATACATTACGATAAATCAAAATCACAAAACAAAAACACAATCAGGCATGTCACATACAGGCTATAGAATACTCACTGTTTCTGATATTCCTTGGGAAATGAACTGCCAGTGAGCGGAGCCACCGAGCACGGCTGCTCAAAGCAGGTACTTTAAGAGCCACGTCGATCATCGGATGTTTTTCTGTTTTCTTTTGAAGATAGTTAATCGAACGAATACCTCTGATCGTATGAGTTGGTCTTGTCGCAAACAAATGCAACATAATTACATTTGAGATGAGTAATACACAATAAAAAACCATCCACTAAATGTCAGTGTCAGGTTCTACAAATGGTAAACAGATTGTAGGCCGGTACCGGCCGATGCTGCGTGTGTGACTGATTGGAAAGACGCAATGTGAATTATGAGGACACGCCGCCGCCCAGCGGCTCAATTCTGCATTGCACCTTCACCAGAGTCCCGTTCCAAACCATAAATACGGTGCTGATGATCTACTGGTGAAATAATTGATGTTATAGCGACCCTTTTGCCTATCAAATGTGAGGTCACCTTGGTTGGTGTTAAGTTCGTTTTGACGCATGAAATAATCCTTGAGACGTTTCAGTATTTTATTGTAATTTATTTTGTTCTCCAAACATGAACAAAAGACACTTCCGTTTAGTGAAAGTCCACCTTACATACTCAAAAATGAAAGTAATGTAACGATCTTTACTACTAGTGACCATCAGAAGATCCTAACACACTCTTCCATGGTTAAAAAATGATTTGCCTCCAAAACACCAACAAGACAACCTCCTCCAATGACATCCATCGTAGCCACTGGTCAATTGTTCATGCGTCGTGGCCCATGATGATGATAACGATGCCTCTTTCTCTTCATGTCTGATGATGCCTTCTACTGTATTCACTGAATACCATCACTCCTCTTCCCCAGAACTGATTTTCTCAACACGTCTGCCACGTTAGGTTCGGAGTGCAGAGGCTGTGGCACCGAGCCTCGATGGGCCATGCTGGAGAACTTAAAGGAGCTGGATTCTTCGTTCCAGCTGATGTTACCTCTCAAGGAGGCTTTTTTTTTTTTTTTTTAAATGTCTCCATGTTTGTTGAGGTTCTGGACAAAGGGCTTGCCGGTGAGGCGGCCAAATGTTTGGACAGCTGTTCTCATTGTTGCCGGGCTTCCTGCTGTGCATCATGAGCTGCAACTGAGCACATAGTAAGGCCACAATACCTCTGATGAGATGAAGGATGTTTGCTAAATACTATAGGCTATGTATCTATTTTTAATAGCACTGTTAAGCTTTGGGTGGGTTTTAATTGCATGCAATTCCTGTGGTTTCAACTCACAAATACACTTTTTCGGAGAATTGTAGCAGACTAACCGATGAACACAAGATACCCCAAAAAAGAAAACTGTTCACTGACCTAATGTATACACTGCTTTCAGGTCCTGAATACTCTTCCCTTTTATTTATTTTATTGCCACATTTTGTGTGATCTTTGCTCTTGTTTTACAGTAATAGAATTTACATTGAACGTAATTCTATTTTGACACCCAAAAATAAACGAGAGAAACATAACATTATTTTGAGTTGAATTATACCTTAAGGAATAGTTTGATACTAAATACAGTTTTTTGCTTCCTTTCTATGAGATCTGAAGATGGATACTATTCCCTTATTTGTGTTCTTAAAGATAATGTTACATACAAATGAGCAACAGACTATAGAGTGTTTTTTACAGTTTGTATCTGGGTTACAAAAAGCGGTAAATTGGTAAGAACTGTGTATTGTTAACCAGTGCCGACCCGTCAACAGACACACAAGAGCTTAACTGGGAAACCAACCAGTCTGTAAAAAAGTTAGTGGATAGTCGATGAGCCCCAACTTTTCATTGTTTTTTTTCAGTTGCCTCCTTCTACCAGCAGATGGCGCTTTTTAAAATATTGTCCTCCATACCACAACATAGTAAGATAGTGTTTACAGTTCGCAGTTACCCACAATCCTACGCGGTGTGTGTTGATATCAGATAACTCATTTTACACACAACCTGCACGTGTAGATGGAAAACCACGGGATTTTGTTTGTAATAAACTGTCAATTAAAATGAGCCACGTGAGTGTAAATTGCATAATTCTACGCTAAAGTGCTATATTGTTCGTTCATCTTTCTCGTGACCACAAACGGCATAATTCACATCTCTCTTCTTTTTTGGCAGAAAATACGCTGACTCTCTAACTCGCCCTATTTTTGAAAGACAAAATACTGAATTCTCCATCATTTCAACAATGTATTCTAGCGTGCGATCAAATCGGAAATCAAAGTGATCCCGTTTAAAAAAACAGCCTCACCCGCTGCAGCGCCGGTGCGCACGCGCAGAGCGAAGCGAGTGAAAGGCCTCCTGTGATTATGACACAAAGGACGACGGCGATGCGACAGTGTTGTAATACACGACGGCGAGCGGCCGTGACTGTCCTCAGACTCCGCGCGACGCCATTGGGGCTCGTGGACTCGTTTACCATATTTGGCCAGATGGTGACACGCAGCGCGCCCGGGAATTGGACGAGAGCGACCGTCATTCACAAAAGTCGGCCCTCTGCGAGTTTTACAAACAAAGCGGGTGCTCGTGGGAGTTGTAGTCCAAAACAAACCACAGACCCGAGACTACTCGCGGGGGGGAGGGGGGTCTATCCCTCTCCTGCGGTAATATAATCGCCTCACACGTTCCCGAAATGTTAAATGTAACCAACGCGATCAACTCCTTTCCGTTCACGTACATCCGAAGCACTAAACAAACTCCGCATCCGTTAATCGCACGCGGATCTCGACACCCTACGTCTTGCGGCATTACAAACGCCCACTCGGCGGTGCTCGCATTTGATTGGCCGCGGCGTCCTGTCAATCACGCGACGGGACCAACGAGTCCAACCGCTCCTACAGTAAATATTTGTGTTTGCTCGAGCGGCTGTAATGGTGGACGACTGAGGCGGAGAGACGGAACACGACCAGAGTGAAGGAAGACGAGAGGAACGAGGTCGGAAAGTCTGTTTCGTAAAAGCCGGACGCCGCGAAGTAGGACACGGGCTTCGTCGTTAAAAAAAATAAAAATGGATGAACTCAAACATCAAGTCATGATTAACCAGTTCGTCCTGACGGCCGGTTGCGCGGCGGACCAAGCGAAGCAGCTCCTGCAAGCGGCGCATTGGCAGTTCGAGGTAAAACAAAAACAAAAAAACAACAACGAAAAGAGGAACGGAACAATAACATACGTCAGCGTCTGCGGGAGCCCGGTAGCCGCGGTGCTAATGTTTATGTCCGACCGGACACGGGTTGACAGCGGAGCTTCGCCCCGGCTGCCCGTCGCCGCTTCCCGGGGCTCTCGACGTGCAAAACAAAGCGTCAGTGTTCGCAACGTGTCCTCGTTTTTTTTTTTTTTTAACTCAACAGTCAGCCGGACAGAAGCCGGCCGGCTCCACGGCTACAACTTTTGGCCGTATATAAAGTGTATGTGCCGCGGCGGGCCGATTTAAGCACATCCGATTTGACTCCAGATTAAATACTTAATAATCCGACACGTGACAGCGGTGTTCAGGCGAGGCCGGTGTTACGCAACGCGCGTGACCGTTGCGCGGTGTCGACCGGCCCGCGGGGTTGTTTAGTCTGCGGCTGAAGCGAACACGGCTCCAGCTAACGTTAGTAACAGCACGCGCTCTGGATTGTTGTTATTTATTTAAAAACTGCATGTCAACACAGAACTATATATGTTTTGCATTGATCTGTAAGAGAAAAGCATACGATGTCACTGATGTTCTGTGTGTTTCGTTGTAGACTGCCCTCAGTGCCTTTTTCCAAGAAACAAATATTCCATATGGCCATCATCATCAAATGGTGAGTGTTTGGGAGGATGGCGATCACTGCTCTTTGTTGTCCTGTTTATGTAACTGTAACCCGTAAATTGGAGCGCGTACATCTTTAAGGTTCTGGGTGGGATGGGTGAGGATAAACGGCCCTCATAGGCCAAGCGGGATGATGCGGTGCTAACAATAACAAAGCACATGTCGGCCATGTTGTGAGCTTCCAGAAATAAACACTCACTGGCGTGCATGAAGCAGCCACCACTTCATTGTGTATGCAAGACAGAATGGGAGGGGAGGGGAGGGGGGGGGGGGAAGATGTTGATGTATGAAATCCATAAGCCTTCATTGTTTTCGACTGAGGTGCATAAAGGAAGGAAAGGCCCCTCAGTTTCTGGGAAAAGCAGAAAAAAATTAGCTCTTCTAGGAAGGACAGCTGCGTCTCACAAATAGATCCTGGTGAAATTGCATTAGCCTTGGGGGTGGGGGGGGGGAGGTGTATTAGTCCGTTTGCCCTGATTTTTAGGGTTAGGGGTAAACGTGTTGAAAGGACTGGGAAGGCGTCTGGTGTGTAAGACATCCGCATACGCACACTCGCTCACTGGGGTCGAACATTATGACACGCTTTAGCAGCAGCACGCATGTCTTTGTTTGCAGCTGCATGCAAGGCAGCAGCTGCCTGCTGGAGGGCCCGACAGAGAGATGTGTGGGAATGATTTGGTTTGGGGGACACAACTATTTTCCCTTTGCGCTCAAACCTTCTCTTGCATTATGTAGACATAAAGCCTTGCGAGAGCTGCATCACTCTTACAGCTTTTATTACAACGAGGGAAGCCGATCCTTCTGGAGCATATCTGGCCTCCATTTAGCTCACGAAATGTCTCCCTTTTTAATTCAGAGAGTAAACCATCCGCCAACAGCTGTCCTGCTCCACTGTGCAGAATGGGGCTGAGCTCGACTGCTGCAGAGTCAGAAAGCAGAGCACCTACGGGTGCCTCTGCTGTTATTGTTACAGACGCGTTCTTGCGCAATCCCGCGTTCTCGTTTCCCTTTTTTTCTGCACAAACGACCGCGCATGTGCACGCCCGCTGTACTTGCATGCATGCATTTGTGTTTTGTGCACACACACATAGAGGGTGTGTTGCTGGATGTGTGTGAGTCATGACAGTACTACAGCAGGGCAGCGTGTCCAACCGTCCTGCAGCTTATTGGGCCACAGTGTCCGGTGGCATCTGATCCACATTGTGCTGGCTCTCCTTTTTTTATCTGAATGGACAACATGAAGTTACATTTCTGTCGCACACGCATACAATGCCCCCCCCCCCCTCCACACCAGTAGCCACTAACAAGCAGCCCGTAGCCGCATTTCTTGGCAGCATTGCAGGTTATGACGTCATGTAGGTCACTTAGTTCCCCTCCCTTTTCTATCCAACTGTGGCATCATGGGAGATAAACAAACTCTGATACAAAAGCACTGTTGTCTTAATGGCGTTCTCTCAACACTGTCTGTGGTTTGTCAGTAGGATGGCGGTAAGACACGTCCAGTCTGGTTTTGTTTACGTTTTTGTTGGCAAATCCAGCCGTGGTGTCTTTTATATCAGAGATTGACATTGTGTATCAAATAGGGAGGCGAGCGGGCCTCTTGTATAATACTGTGCAGGGCGGAGGATTTAGATAAAGCTCCGCTCATTGTTTCCTTTTAGAGGCAGAGTCCGAGGGAGCGCCTGTGCTTTGTCACATGCATCTAAGCGAGCTACAATCTCTGCACCGACATGCAGGAAATACTCCTGTTTGTTGTCGTCTTCATCGGTGTATATAAAGTACGTCAGTGAGAGCCCCGGGAATGAAGCTTCCTTTTGCCGTCCGTCACGTGATCGACACCAAAGTTTCATCCAACTCACGTCTGTCTTTTATTTCCTTTTTTTTTGTGCAATCCCTCCCCGTCCACTCCCAGTTTCCTCCTCTATACACACACACACACACACCCCGCCTTCACAAACGGTGCAACCACAACACATTCCTGGAGGACGCAACGCTCTCACCGGTCCCAAAATGGACCCCTTCACAGCGGAGTGTCCCGGCATAACCCGAAGCCACAGCTCTCCCTTTCTGTGGGGCGCACACTCACTCCTCCTGGCCTCCGTGCTTGTACTCTTCTGTCTGTTCCTGCTTACAGATACAAAACAGAAGGCTTTAGATTGCAATGAGCTCCCTATGTTTCCTGTTGGAGAATCGTATTCTTGATCATTGATCACTCTCAAACAAGTTCCCAGCCTCAGAGAAGCGGTTTGCCTTTTAGGGGCTAATCTCTCATGGCAAATATTATGCGTATATTCTTGTATACTTGCCTTTTCATTCATTTTACTATTGACATAACAGCAAGCAACAATTAGCTCTGTAGGAAGAGGCAGAAGAATCGTTTTGTGGAGTAATATCTATCCGCTGTGTGTGTGTTGTTATCCGAGCGATGGGGTTGTCACGGAAACGTAGCACCTAACCTCCCGGTCCCCCTGAGGTAAACATTGTTAGCTCTGTCGGGACATTTTCCGAATTACACAACGAGCCTCCGGTTCAGGCGTCGTCGTGTTGACAGCTCTTCCATATTTTCCGCTCTTTGCAGAATACAAACATAGAGAAGAGGTGCAACTAACGTTTAACATTTTATTTTATTGTATTCAGATTTTCATCAGCGGTAAAATGGTGAACTTCAATCAGTGTTTTCCAAAGCTTAAGATAAAAGATATTTAGTTCACTGTCACGAGGAGTAAAGAAGCCAGAAAAACTCCACATTTATTTAAACCATTGGTCTTTTGTTCTAAACTGGTTCCTGGTGTGCGAGAGAAGGATTTCCTTGGAACACACATGAGCGACTTGTGGAAATATTTTCTCAGCCACCATGTTTTTTTAATGAGCTGGTATGCACAGAGTTACGTCTGTCTGTGTGTTCACTGTGTCTCTGAACGTTGAAGGAAAAAACGCAAACACTAATTCATGACACTAATATCAGTGTTTCCATGATTAAGATCTCCCCCCACAAATCCCCCCGGCCACATACAGCCACAATAAAGTGAATTAATCCTCATGTGACCACACCGGAGTCGCCTCGCTTGACGGCTTCCGCTGCCGTCAGGAAACACGAGACCCCCGTCATGTGACTGAGCGGGAGGACGGCCGTACTGAGCCACAAAGCTTGCTTCACATGCGTGTGATTTCCGCTACAGTTTTTTATATATATATAATATATATATATATATATATATATATATATATATATATAGTAGGTCACGGTACTGAAAGCAATCTCCTCTATATTACATTGTCCTCTTCTTGAATCATGTCTGCACTTTTAAACAGCCTCATGTTCTCCCTGTTTTCATTTGGGTTTAGAGAAGAACACGTGTAGTTTTGGTCGTTGCTCCCGTTTCCTTTTCTTCTCTTGGTAATGTCTCGCAAAAATTCCATTAAACCAAAAAATAGCTGCTGTGGATTTCTATTATTTTTATACTTAAATAAGCATATTAGCTAAACCGAAGCAGTAGGTAATCTTAAACTGCATCCATTTAAATACTTAAAGCTTCCTCCTCCCACTGAGCAGCCTGGCCTACATACGGCGAGCCTCGACACAATGACCACAAACCCCTCCGCGTTTCAACAATCCGCTTCTTCTCATTCTCCCCTGTAATTGCCGTTTGTCACTGGACGCTCAAGGTGAATCAAACAGTGACTTCATGAAGGTCAACGTTCAGCAACTTGCTGGGCGATGTAGCACAATAGTGATGGACACTAAACACTGTTTCCTGGCAATATAAACACCCAGTAGAAGAAAGGTGTGTGTGTGTGTGTTTGAGGGGGTGTTTCTGGTAACTACAAACATTTGGTTTTGGAGTCCGGGTGTGGCTTTAAAACAAGTTTTTTTTTCTTTCTTCAAAATCCTCGCCGTTGTCATCCATGTAAGATCTCACAGATGTTTAAAGTGTGTGGTGCATGAGAGCAGAGGTATAATTACCTCCACAAATCATGATGTGACAACACATCTTTTCTCTGTCTGGCCTCTATTTATTTATTTATCACCACACTACAGGAGAAGGAGGGAGGCTAACAAAAGCATGTAAAGGACACTTCAATTGGGTTCCAAATAGCAGGGGAAGGGAGGGGAATCAAGAAGGAGCAGTGAGGAAGCGGGTTTGGCCGGTACTTAAGGTGAAATAGGCTTTTTCAGGTTTAATTTAGGTTGACGGTTCTATAACAAAGTGCTGCTTTGTGTCTCAGCCACAACAACGGTGCTCTCTGTCCCGCTGCCACTGCTTACAGAAGGTCATTGAGTGCAGAACAAGGTGAAAGGCAGTGTTTTCATATTCGAGTGGGTATTGGCCCGCTGGCGGGACGGGACGGGGCAGCTGGCCCACCTCGAGAGCCTGAGCCAAAGTGGTGGCTAACGTCAGAGCTAACGCCCTTAATCCGAGGCAATTAAAACGAAAGGCTTAGGCACGTCTCGGGTCGCGCCGTACATCGTCTTCTCAATAATTGCCAACTTCGACTAGTCACCAATGAATTAGGCCACAATGCAAACACCCCCCCGCGACGCCTTAGTGTCCCCCTGAGTTTGTGCACCAGGAGACCAAAAACGCACACCGATCGCTTCTTACCTGCTAATGTTACACCACTCATAGTGGGTGGTGAGGCCAACGACACACCAGTGTGCTGCACAGAGATGGTGGGCGGCTGGTGGTGGTGGTGGTGGTGGGCGGGTGGTGGCGGCAGACTGGCAGTGAAATCATGTGGCCAAAAACTACTTTTTAAGATTTGAAGACTGAACCCAAAGCACTCGGGACGGCATCTTTCCGAGCTCGGCTGTCCATTGCACCGTGACGTAGACCGCACTTTGGCGTCAGTCCAGCGTCGTACAAGGCCAACGTCTGCATTTATCTCGGCGCTGTACACCGGACCGTCAGGGTTTGTAAATACTCTGGTGCCGCCTCGGCCTCAGCCGTGCCCGTGCGTCCTCCAGCCGCGCCAAGCGGTTACCCACATCTG